CCCAAAAATAAATAAACGTTGAAAAAAAAAAAATTTAAAATGTGATTTTAGAAGTGAAAAAAATTGTAACTTTGGGAGATGATAGATGTGTTAATTATTGTAATTATTTTGCAATATATACATATATAAAATCACTACATGGTGCACCTTTGACCTACACAATGTTAATGTCAATTATATCTCAATTAAGTTGATAAAAAAAAAAAGAAATAAAACTAGATGATTTTAAAAGTTTTTGACAGGGGCACCTGGGTGGCTCAGTCGGTTAAGCGGCCGACTTCGGCTCAGGTCATGATCTTGCGGTCCGTGAGTTTGAGCCCTGCGTCGGGCTCTGTGCTGACAGCTCAGAGCCTGGAGCCTGTTTCAGATTCTGTGTCTCCCTCTCTCTGACCCTCCCCTGTTCATGCTCTGTCTCTCCCTGTCTCAAAAATAAATAAAACGTTAAAAAAATAAAAATAAAAAAATAAAAGTTTTTGACTAATCTTTTATTATAAACAAAGAAGATAACAATACTATTATTTAATGTTATTCAATATTAATGATATATTATTAATCTATTACATTTTTCTAAGCAGTTTAAATGTACAGTATACCCTTGAACAACACAGGTTTGAACTGTCCAGGTCTACTTATAGACAGATGTTTTTCAATAAGTCAGTATAGTACTATAAATGAATTACCTCTTTCTTATTTTATTTTTCTTTTTGAGAGAGAGAGAGAGAGAGAGAGAGAGAGATCGGAGGAGGGGCAGAGAGAGAGGGAAACAGAGGATCCGAAGCAGGCCTTGCACTGTCAGCAGAGAGCATGTGTGGGGCTCAAACTCATGAACCCTGAGATCGTGACCTGAGCCAAAGTTGGATGCTTAACCGACTGAGCCACCCAGGCGCCCCTTTATGATTTTCTGAATAACATTTTTTTCTCACTTTATTGTAAAAATACAGTATACAATACATATAACATACAAAATATATGTCAATTGACTATGTTATTGGTAAGGCTTGTGGTCAACAGTAGACTATTAGTAGTTAAGTTTTGGGAGAGCCAAAATCTATATGTGGATTTTCGACTGTGAGGGGGTGTCGGTGCCCCAACCCCTGCCTTGTTCAAGGATCAGCTGTAATAACTTATTTAAAACTTAAACAACCTTACAATGTTTATAACAATCTTGCTCTATATCCCAGCCTCCCAGCCACCATCTGCCTGCCCAGATTCCAGGGAGATAGACTTTTGCTTTGGGAGAGGGGATAGGGACAGGTAATATAAACACATATATTTATATAAAATTCAAAGTGAAAAGTAAATCTCCCAACAAGGCCTGTCCCTTATCTACCAAGTTCCCTTCAACAGAAGTAACTGTTGTTAGCAGTTTCTTCTATGTCCTTCCAGAGAAAATGAGATTAATTTTTAAACTACTAAAATCCAGTTCAACTATTTTAAGAA